TAACTATAACTCCGAGGGACTCGCACCAGAATCTGATTGCTACATTTGATGTTTCACACTAATAAATTATTTTATTTTATAATATAAATAATAAAAGGTATGGTATCATGTCATCCTGGTCATCTATGCATATGATAATTGTATTTTTTGGTCATTTTTATTAATGAATCAAGACGTGAATTATTTTTTAAAAACATGCCAAAGGATTTGATATGTCTTTTTTTCTACAATATCAGCTCTGTATCATCATTTATTTTGTTCATTTAAGGATGAAACAGGAAACAGTCCCAGTGAGAAGACGTCAGTCCAATCAGAAATATCGAGGTATGGAAAATTATACAGTACATGTATTTTATGGGGTGTTTAGTTTGTGCATTTGTCTGTTTTAACAATTGATATATAGTAAGAGACATTTATTTTCTTTCAACAGGTTTATATTGGAATTTGACTGCATAGAGCCAATGGGCAAAGGAGGCTTTGGACGTGTTTTCAAGGCAAAAGAAAAACTGACGGAGAAGAATTTTGCTATAAAGATCGTCGTCTATAAAAAGTTAGTTAAACATTAAATTATGCGCTTTTAATATTAATTTCATAGTATAATATATTAGTTACAGATGCAGAAGAAAACAAGTTCAAACTTTCAACTGAGCTATTTTCTTATCCTTTGGATCAGAAAATCTCTACAGGAGGTGAAGGCATTGTCAGATCTCCATCACTCTAACATTGTTCGATACTACACGTGTTGGTTGGAGGATTCAAATTACCAATGGGACGATGCAGCCGACAGTTGGGGCTCTTCACAGTAAGTCCTGTGCTCCTACGTAAATCCTTACTTAACACTCATAATACCTTCCCATTGACTATGCGGTTGTGTTCCTCCATCATGAATTTAACCCCAGTCTGGTTTGACTTAGTCAACTCAATACCAACTCATTAACACCAAGCCTGACCCAATTTTTTTTTTTAAAGTTAAAAATCTGAATAATTTTGACTATAGTTAATATAATAGTTGATTATCCCATTATCCCAGTCTGGTATATGTCCAAGTTTAGTCAGGACACTGTTTTGAAAACATTTAATTTTTTTTCAATGGTGACAAATAATAACACCTGTTGTCCTTCGGGATGTGTGTGTGTGTATGTTATATGCGTGTATGTGTGCGTTATATGCGCTGTGTGTGTGTGTTTGCACAGTGTAACCCAATGGCCCTTCTGGGGTCAAATTACAGTAGAGTACAGTAAGTTCAATCAAACACCCAAAATTCAGTGAATGTAGTCAAAATTGATTTTATGTGGAGCTGCCATACCATCCATGTTATTTTGGTGAAATTAGATTTAAAAAATGCCATATTTATGACATAAAGAACATTGACCCCAAGACATTATGAGGGTCAATCTACTTATTTTTTTATTTTTCTCTTACTTTTCTAGGTCTTCTGTCGATGGTTTATCTGCAAAATACCTCTATATTCAGATGGAGTTATGTGACACCAAAACACTTAGAGCTTGGATAGATGAGAAGAATACTCCGAGTGGTGAAGAATCTCTGAGGAGACTCAAAGAGAACAGAAGAAAGTCTAAAACTATATATTAAGGGGAATAGCAGTGGAGTCGAGTACATTCACTCCATGAAGCTCATCCACAGAGACCTGAAGGTGAGACAAAGTGATTAAAATAATTTATTACTTCACTTCAGTCATGAATCTTCATATTATCTTGTTTATTTCTTACTCCTCATTAGCCGGCCAACATCATGTTTGGGCAAGATAAGATAGTGAAGATTGGAGACTTTGGTCTGGTCACTGATGACAACGATGATGATGGGAACCTCATTGAGAGAACAGTCTACAAAGGAACCCCATCTTACATGGCTCCTGAACAGGTGAGATGCTCTGTACTGACTCTGAACTTTAGATTCTTGTGTGTTATTAAATATTGGTCATTAAAGGCACCCTATTTATATTTAAACCAGTTGTGGGATTTCATTTTAGGTGCCTCACAGCCCTGAAAGGTGCATTATCATGATTAATGTCTTTTTCACCAAAGAATAACAAAAACAATTACCTTAAAACTTCAATTAAAAACAGAAACCCAATTACATGCAGGTTAACTTTACTAGCCTGGTGTGGCTACATGTTTTGACAATTAGACACCTCTGGACTAGACAACATACAAGTAATATTCTTACTGGTTTAAACAATTTGATAGTTTGTTCTTTAAAGTTATGTTAGAGTCAGTTTTGCACATTTTTGGTCAGATTTAATGTAATTTCATGTGACTGATGTCTTGTTTTACAACAGAAGGACGAGACGACTTATGATCGAAAAGTTGATATATTTGCTGTGGGGCTGATATGCGTCGAACTTCTTTGGAACTTTTCCTCTGGCCATGAAAGGCAGAAGGTGAGTGTTTCAGTTAATAACCTGCTATGTTTATTTTTTAAGGTTATGTTAAAGGTTCCAGATATTGTTGTCAGATATTTAAAAAGTATTTAAGCTCAGGAGAGTGTTTTTACAGGCCAGTTAACCGTTCTTTCTACTTTTTAATCACTGCATCACTTCCAGCTTTGGAACGACATCAGGATCCAGAAATTCCCCCATGGGTTTTCAGACAATTTTCCAAAAGAGGTAAATCATTTTGTAATTTTTTATCAATTTACTTGCAGTATGTTTGAGTGCTCTTAAATAACCGGGTTCAACTCAGAGAAACTGGGTTACACACATGCGGGCGCTCCGGTAGCGTACCACATATCAAGGTCACAGTTCAAAAGATAAAGCAAAACGCTAATCATTTCTTAATGCAATATAGGTCTCAATAGCTTTTTTTTTTATGTTTCAGTACATGATGTTGCGTCCAATGCTGTGTGTGAAACCAGAAAACCGACCTGAAGCAAGTAAGGTCAAGAAAGACCTGGAAGAGTACGCTTTGAACAAAATTGAGTGCAGCCGATCTTTTTGATTGTCAGTTGAAGTCACTGACATCTGTTTTATGGTTTACCCTGTGCATGTAGATGAAGATCGGTTTTACCCCCTGAAAATGATCTCCAGTCTATTAAATATTGGGCATCATTTACATGCAACTTTTTGCCTTTTTAAATGTAATTTTAATTTTGACTGTCTATTTTATTTGTCTATTNNTTAATTTAAGCAGTTACAGTCGATATATACTCTGCCGCTAAATTCTTCTGTTGGCTCAACTTGTTGCTTTGCTCTGCTTTTAATTATGTCAACTTAACTTCAGGTCAAGTGTGGGTAATGTGAATTATCTCATAGGACCTCAGCCAAGTGATGTGAAACTAAATAAAGATGATTTGCCACTTGGATTGGTCTGTCTGTCTTGTATTTGTAATCTTTTCTATTTTTTTCATGCAAATGCAAAACATCTTTAATTTCTTTCGGGCTATTGATTAATTTGCTCACATGACATTTAAAGTATGAACACATAATAATACACTATAACAGTAAAGCTACAGTCATGGGTCAAAGTTATTTGCAAGTTTTATTTTAGAGTATGTAAGAAACCCCCATATAAGTATGTTCAGAGGAATACTGGGCAGATACAAGTTTTAAGCCATGTAACCGGCATGTTTTTACATTACAGCAGTAATGTACTATTTCAAAGTTTTCACCAAATCTGTATCAAACATGGTAGTATGTTATGTTAAAAATAATGTTAAATGTGCTACCACATGCTTTTTATCTGACTTTCCCATGATCAAGATGTCCATATAACTTACAACTTAACGCACCACTTGAGGGCAGATTACTGTTTGATGAGTGTTGTGTTTTCATGAATGTCACATTATGAGAGAAACAAGAAATGGAGGCAATATAACAATTAGAACCGAACATACTGTGTTAGGTGTTTTTAGAATTTTGATTACCATTTCTCAAACATTTTAAAGAAATTATCATCCAAAACTAAAACTAAACTAAGGCTCAGTTTGGGAGTTCGCACACTGACCTGATTGTTGTTGTGTTTTGTAATGTAACCTGTAGGGGGAGCTGTGGCTCTGTAGCTCAGGCTGTTCAGAGTGTGGCTGCAGCCTCCAGGCCTCCCCAGCCTGTGGGTGAGAGAGGTTTATTCACAGTGAGAGGGCCAAAACGAGGGAGCTGTGTGACATTTAATCATGCCTCCGGCGCATGCTTGATGATTAGCATCTCTGTGGAAAACAACAGGAACAAGTGCCAAATGCAGAATCCCACACAATCACCTGGCTCTGGTGCACACGGTCACATAGGCCCCCGGTAATCAGCACAAATCAGCTCCTGCAGCTCAGTATGTTAACTCAACAACCACACTGCAAAGCTAAAATTTGCTTAGTGCTCGTGGATGGAGGCCATACTGTAGGTGGATCGACTGCCTTCAGGTAGATTGAATAACTTGGTGGTAGCTTCTGTCTTACCAGTTATGGAGAGAATACAGAACATTTTGAACCTTGAAAACATAAAATAATTAAAAACCTGCGTTGATTGATTTCTTTTGGTGCCATCTGTAGATATACACATTGATTTTATGGTAACAAAAACATAATGATTGCTATATTGAGGCAATTATACACTAACGAAACCATACCATACCTGCCAATAGATCCTCTTAAATGTTACACACTGGACCTTTAACAAAGTGTGGGCTGCTTGTCCAGCTAACTTGCATGCAATTATTAATAATAATAATTAATAATTTATCTGAATTAATAATTAATAAGGGTATTAAAGGAGGAGCCTCCAAATAACCAGGAATAATGCTCTAAATAAACAGAGAAAAATATGGAAATGTTGTATATGTACAGGAGCTGATGCGTACTGTAAAGCATAACTAACTAATATATAGCGCCACTGCATAACCTGTAATCGCTGCACTCCATGGTGCGTTTGATTAAACAAGAAGAAAAGTGGGTGTTCTTGTACCCAACGTGCCAATCATAACAGTGGGCGTTCCTGTAGAGCACAGGACAGACTGCAGTCAGACTTTTAGATAGCGTGCCCAGTTTTGTTGCCATATTTATGTGACAGTCAAAATGAAATCCATTATGATTAAATATTATTTCACTCCCTCAATAATTACCAACATTTTGCCCGCTGATGTTTTTTCTTTTTTTATTTGAAGATGTCACTTAGATATCAACTGCATGAGAAAACTTTCAATCATCCTTCCCTTGACATTTACGTCACCAAAACAATACACTCTCATTTTAGCAGTATCTAAGATAAGCAACCTGGTATGTTTCCAATCTTCCACAGCTGTCGCGCTTGTGCGAGCAGGGTTATTGGATGTATTGAGGTCACTTCCTCTGAGAGCAGTGTGGGCACTGAAGCAGCGCTCTAGTCAGTGGCCTGGACCTTGTAGCCGGGGGTAAAATAGACTCACCAGTCAGAAGCGGAGTGTCTCCCCAAAGTCCCATGGGTCAGAGCAAACGATTACTCTGTGCGCAGCCTCGTTGTAGAACCAGCAACCAGAGTTTGTTCTGCTCTGTGTGTTTTAAGAATCAGCCTTGCTGCAAAGACAAAACTATCGCCCACCAGCAGACATCAAAATCAAAATGACAGTTTGAGGATCCACGTGAGTTGTCAGATAGTGTCGTCATCATCCCTGCCTGTACATATATTTCAGAAGTTTCTCTTGTTAAGTTAGCCCACTTAACCTCTGGTGAACTCCAGTTAACTGGAGCATGACCACGTGCTGTGCCTCACCGGAGGCCCCACTTGGCTTTTACACTAAACTTTCCACCTCTCCAGAACTACATTCTGCCACTGTCCACTCCACTTGACGAAAACTGCCAGTGCTTTTCAAAAGGCCATACAAGTGATTTAGCATGTTTTAACCTACTTTAATACAACTCGTGGAAATTTCTACATCAGTTTCAGGCAGCCTTTAATTCCATTAATTTTCATACACTGTAAAAGATCTTTAGAAGACTCCTGTAACTTGCTTGAATTGTGTAACTTTCATTATCATTGTGTGGTAATGCAGTTCCAGTCTGTACCGTCTTATTTCACAAAGATAATATGACTTTGACCAATTGTAAAACTGCTCTAATCAATATTAAATATTATTAATATAAGACCAGTGTTTAGGATTTAATGGCATCTAACGCTGTAGTTGCAGATTGCAATTTCCTCGCTTCATCCTCCTCTTCTAGGCGCGAGCAGAAACTACGGTGGCAACAAAATGCGTGGACAACGTTAAAGCCATAATGGTGGTACTTGGTGAGCCTGATATTTACTGAGGTGGTATGCTGTGTATCAAAAGTTGCAAAAAATAAACTCCTGCACACCCTCTAACTTGCAAAATAACATTTATTTACAGTTTTTTTGGTACTCAACTAGAGGTCTACGTTGCAAATAAATGTTATATTGCACGTTATTAAGGGTTTAATTTAGCAACTTTGGATCCACTCCTGTCTCATCATGAAATAGATGTGCGGGATTTCTTTTTTCTTGTCTGTGCTATGTGGTATAAAAAGTTTGAGAAACACTGCCCTAGAGATTAGAGAGACTGAATATAGGACAAAAAGTTCTGCTGTCACTTTTCCTTTCAAGCCATTACAGTCAAGTCCGGCCTGTGTATCTGAGCTCCCTTTTTAAAGAAAAACACCTTGTGTTCACTCACATCCGCCTGATTCAGCTCCAGTCAGCAGAGGAGATCAGATCCTCTTCACAACACCTACAGTACATCCTCCCCCAAGCTCTTGTACTCTGGTTACATAAAACTCATTTCATGTGAGAACTCCCAACTGGTCTACATTAAATGCGCTGTAAATCAGAGACAACAGACTTGGCAAACTTTGCTCCACACCAGCCAAATATTCGCTGATACATTACAATATTCATTCTCACTTCTTATATTTACTCCTCAAAAGCACCACCCCGCCGTCTCCTGAGAGTAGGCCTCTCCGATAGAAAAAATAATATTTTCACATCACAGGATTTCTTTGGTTAGCTGTTGTTGTTTTTCACTGCTGACAGTGGCAGCGGCTGTCTTTTCTTGTTCACACTCCTTTCCTGGTTTGTTTTTTTCAATTGTATTGATGTAAACAAATTTCCCCTTTTCTGCTTTGAGGCATGTTTACTGTAACATATCTTAAATTTTAACTCTGAGTTAATTCTTTATAAAAACTAGGGAAGATGCACCACAAGAAAATACCACTTGACTCAAGACATAAAATCTCACTCAAAAACAAGAGAAACATTAAAAACCTGATAAAAATTGGTGTAAAAACATAATTTGAGTGAATTAAAGGCCATGTCAAACTGTTTCTACAGTAGCCCAGAATGGACAAACCAAACACTGGTACTAGAAAGGGAATCTGCAACTACACCACTACATGCCACTAAATCCTGCACATTGGACCTTTAAGTTCCCCAGGACTTGTTCAATAAAGAAATATTCTGTTAAGCTTCACAATTAAAAGTTTTTGCGACAAATTTCTGGTGGTGTTTATATATAAAGTGGATCTTACTGCGTTGGTGTGTTTTGTTGTATTGGCACATGTGGGTAAAAGCGTGGTACGTGTCTGAGTGTGTGTGCAGTTTTCTTGGCTTGCTCTGTGTGGCAGCTGAAGGAGCTGTCAGAACAACTTGACTTACGCTGCCTTGTGTCACTTTGTGTGGGCTGGTAATTTACTACAAATGATATTGCATTCTCTCGGTTGACAGCCTGCCAACGCTGTCAATTGGCGAAGCCAGGAAAGTCATTTGTCAACTTCTTGGCCCCTCAAATCCCTGACCGCCACACCTCGCAGCTTTAAAGTTCAAGGGCATTACGCCAGACTCACCTGGTAAATCTTTAATAAGTCAAAGAGTCAGCCTCATCTGGAGTTAAGCAGTTCATATCAGAGCAGCAGGGTAGGCGGCAGTGTGTCAGGAGGATTCTCTGAAAGCTTCTGCAGCCAGTTATTCCCCTGTTTCCTCCTGCAAAAATGACACCTTCCGACAGCCCAGCTGTTGTGCCAATTTTGTGCCCACAGAAAAGACATGTGTGAGGTGATGCAATCATGATGTTAGTGTGGAATACACAGGAGGAATATGGAGAGGAAACAAAGAAACAAAAATGAAAGGTTGCGCTTAAACGGCTACCACGGTGCTCTGTGAAGAGATATAAATGGCAGGCTTGGTGTCAGAGTTTGTGTCTTTATCTG